CGCCGAACGGCTTGTGCTAGGCCACCAAACTTGGTGTACTTTTCATAACATATTGTGGTTAACGATTTCAGTGAGATGAATTGATATTTTTCGTGTTGCCATGGCAACGGGTTTCCGACAGGTATTTTTGGCAAAAATCAGTAATTCTTACTCATGTTAATGAAAGCCTGAAAGTCAACATGTCGTTGATGGCTCCAGTGTCTGACCGTTTGACCTCCTGTCACCATTATCTAAAGATACGTTTTGTTTTTTTCAACAGGGAGGCCCTTGGTGACTCGTTTTTGTCGTCTCACCACAAGTGGAGTTGCTGTGTGGAATTCACCAGTTTCCCTCACATGTGGCATCAATTTGCAAAATCTATCCCAGGTATTTTTTTTTTCTTCTTTTTTTTCACACAACTGTTACAGGTCACACATCGTACGATGCACCTACGCATCATTGTGTTTGAGGCGAAACGGCTGCATTTTTATATCTATCGTCCATGTTAAAAAACAAGTTTGAACTGCAATTTCCAACGCATGAAACTGGACTGTAAAACACCAGTCGAAAATTTGGGTAAGTCCAACTTCTTATGTTGGAAATTGCAGTTCAAACTTGTTTCATAATGACATATACCAACGCAAATGAACTTCCAAGATAATATCGCACATGTTGTTCACAAATAGACGATGTATACGTTACATTCGCCACGTATACGTAAAACCCTCCATCGAAGATAAACCGTACGTCGTCGAACCATGTACGTGACTGAGGCTGTTAGCTACTCTCCTTAATAGACCGTTCCATAAGCCACGCCCCCATTAGAAACGCCCTAGCAACTCGAACACCTCCGTCAAAATCAGCGCGGGAAGGGCCGTACCGACTGTACTGCCGCCGCCAGAATGTCGGATTTGCAGCCCAATTTTACGGTCGATTTTTTGGCAGCGAAAAGCTCTCCCAGGAGACAAAAAATTGGTTAAGCTATATTTGTTGAACGGTAAATCCGCAGAGTAGAATTATTTTAGGAGGGGACAGAGGTAGTTTCAGTGAGAGCAAAATGTTTTCGCTCAATACAGACGCGAGATTGGCCGTATAACATCACACGGTAGGTGGACAAGAGTGCCCGGTTGCTGACTAACAGCCGATACATGTGTGAAACAGAGTCACAGCTGCATACAAGCTCGGGAAAAAACGAAATGGGAAATAAAAACTCACGGGGACTCACGAGGGAGGGCGCAACTAATAAAGGGATTTGTGGTACAAGTAAAAAATAAGCACGCAAACACGAACATAAACCATAATGATAGCTTATGAACAAATGGAAGAATAACAGAACGTCCTTAATTAACTTGAACGCGCATGCAATGTCACAAATTCAGTTTCACATGTAAAACAAGCAGTTTTTATCAAGCAAACATCATTTCAGTTTGCTGCTTTTAGATTTCCCGCGCTGAGTTTAACCGAGGTGTTCGAAATAGAACAGGGATTCGAAATAGGATTTGATGCGTTCGATCTGGAACGGTCCATTAGAATTGCAGTTAACAGTACCACAACATAGTCGTAGGGTTTGAGCTCTGTTTGAAAGAAAAAGACCACGGATTTTCAGTCGATCTGTTGGATCAAGTAGGCAGGTAGTCTCGTGGACCTTTATCAGATGTATGATCGACTGCACCTGGCCATTCCACAACATTACACATTTTAACAAGAAATAAGAAATACGATCGACATACTTTTTAGTTGTTTGGCACACAATGTGCTCTTACCTTTCTAGTATGTAGATAAAGATCCGGATCCTCAACATAAGTCATTCTCCTGAAGTGTGACGAGGGCGGTGAAGTGACTATGACGGGGGCCGATACAACTTCAAACCACCCTCTCCGATTACACACGTTTATCATGTTTTTATATGGAAAAATATTGTAATTATCAAATGTCATTGTCGTTTTTAGACAACAAATGTGACCGAAGAGACTGCACTGACCGTGGCAACAAAACTACAACTGATCACTTTGCAAGCTGAAACTCTCTCAACTGATGATATAATTATAACCAGTCAGCTCTTACAAGAAATCACCAATGTCAGCGCCACGAAGCAGGTGATTAGATAACATTGTATACAGCATAATTTGTACAAAAACGTCTTTATTCACAACTCCTTATTTTACAAAACCGACGTTTCGGTAACCGTTTGTCACCTTCCTGAATGGTGATGCTTCGCACTGCAGCTATGCAATGCTGCTACAATGTTAAGAATGTAGCCCCCAACGTATTTATTGCCTGGCACATATACAATACAATACGTCACTCATTTAACAACTTGATAAAATATTTACGGGGGGGGGGGGGCTCGTCACTGAATGACATCCAGTAAATTTCTAGCGGGGACCAATCAGAGGGCTGCTGAATAATTTGAATAATTTATCAAGGCCCACGGACGCGGTTCTTTCACTTGTAAAGTAGCCAATTACCACCGTGCCGGTGGCACACGATGGGCGAAAACATGTATTTCACACCCATTGTACGTCGACATAAAGCGCTTATACATTACAAACAGAATTTTCGTAGGACTGCCATTACTTTAGTTTGCAGCATGTGTATTGAGAACGAGTATCTTCATAATTCTGCTGGCTGTTTGTAGAAGAACGGCACAATAAAACAGTTTTCAATACCAACACGACTTAGCAGATAACACGTAATGAAGCCCACTTTTTACGCAGATTGTAGCACTACGTAATGTTACACAAACTAACAGTAGATGTTTTAAGGAATTCACAGAAATGACAATGATAGATAATGTAACGCATACTAGTATACACTATACAGCACAAAATAAAGAGTAACAGTAATGTAGTCGTCTTTGGCCGGGTATGGCAAGTTATAGTACGTACATGTATCGGTTCAATCTTTAACGGGTAAGTAGACAGCAACAAGCAAGATGCATAGGTTCTATTACTTTTGTAGCTCACTACTTGCGTCTAGATTTGGGACGAACCCATGTTACTTTTTCGCCGCAGTTTTTCATGTAGTGGTTACTTCGACAGCCTTTCCGCTGACGCAAACATACTAGTTTGAGGTTCCACAGTTCTTACAACGTTAGCGCTTGAAGTGGTGTTTTCCAAGTTTGTTGGTCTGGTGATGTTGTGTTTGTTGGCTTGTTGTCTGTCATTTCCCTCCATTTTTATGTTTGGCGGCCCGTCTTCGATGGGTTGGGTTTGGTTCACCAAGGACATTATTGGGTTCACAAATGTCGGCTTCGCTAAGATCCGTTTCTTCCCGTACGTAGTGGTCGCTCCATTAGCGCTAGTGCAGCCACATTTGAATGTGTACTCGTAAAACCTAATGTCTACAGTCCCGTTTTGATTCGTTCATCAAAGTAGATTTTACTAAGGTATGACTTTACTAACTGATTGTGGAAGTACTAGTACTTAGTACTGATGTAAACAAGAAACAATATACGCGCTCTGGTTGAGTTCATGGCATTTACATGAAACAAGGTGCTAATAGCCGCTAGTCGGTGACGCGTCAGCAGCCCTCTGATTGGTTTCCGCTAGAAATCTACTGGATGTCATATAGTGTACACGGGGGGGGGGGGGGCGTATAATGTAATGCTTGTCATGTGAAACGATCTGAGGGTCAGTTGGTAGAATCGATGAGGTTCTAACATTTCACTGTTATCATGCACCACTGTTATCATGCACCACTGTTATCATGCACCACTGTTATCATGCACCACTGTTATCATGCACCACTGTTATCATGCACCACTGTTATCATGCACCACTGTTATCATGCACCACTGTTATCATGCACCACTGTTATCAAGCACCACTGTTACCATGCAGGTAACCTTCGGCTATGAACATGGTATAAACTGTATAATCTCTCTATCCTACAGATTGGAGAATCCATTCTGACAGTTGCAGATAACACCATGAAGGTCAACGAAACTGTGCTTCTAAAAAGCCATATAAAAGATAGAGCCCCAGCAAGGTAACATAGAAAAAACATCTCAAAGAACTAGATACCTTATTTTACTTATATATGTGTATAGAATAATTAATGCGTTTTTGATAATTAAACCAATATAATGCCAAGCCAAGATAAAAACTTTTAACACATTGAATATAGATATCTATATCTATCTATATCTATATCTATATCTATCTATATCTATATATATATCTATATATATATATATATATATATATATATATATATATATATATATATATATATATATATATATATAAGGAGAGAGAGAGATACTAGATAGGTAGATACTAGATAAATAGATAGAGAAAAAGAGAAAAATAACTACATTGTACGTATTATAACCAAGTAGAATGTAGATAATATTTTACCTTTATGCAGAGTTCTTCAAGCATTGGAGATGTTTGCAGACAGAGTGGATCTGAGTACAGACAGGTTCACCTCCAAGCGACAGGACGTGGCACTGCAGGCAGCTGACGTCAGTGTGCAGGAATTTGATCAGGGCCAAGGTCAGGATGAGAGTCAATCGGAGATTGTTTTGTTTTCGTTTTCTAATGCCGTGAAACAGTGTGGACTAGGCTATATTTCAACAACTCTAAAGGAAATATTTTTTATCTTAATTTTTGTATTGACCATATTTCTTAATTATTGACATGACAGGTGAATATCACATACTTGAGAACAGACTGTAAGGTTTAAATCACTCACACGGTCACGCCGACAAAGATCAACTACTCCTTTTTATACGTGTAGTGGGATCTTTGGTGTGGCGTTGCTCAAGGTGTGGCGTTCTTCAAATAACAACGAATGATACGATCAAATTTGCCTCTGATTTAAGTGAAATTCGTTTCGATTTGTATAGGTTTGGAGAAAGGTCGTGAATTTGTGACAGGGGCTTAAGCATGCATCAAAACATGCGAAAATGTTTCGTTAGTTCAGTCGACTAAAAGGGGGTGCCTTTACGTATGCTTTTTTGCATACGTAAATTATCTGATGTAATGCACAGTGCTGAAACATTGTTTTACCACAGGACTTGCCTTGTTTCTGAACGAAAACGGTTCCAGCAGCCTGAGTGAAGGCCGGCTGTTCAGCTTTACCAAGGAGGATGAAAGAGAGGGATTTTTACAGACTGCTGACATTGATGTCTCCATCAGTCTGCCTGCTAACCTCTCGAACGTACTACCTTTAGACAACACAACAGGTATTTTATATCTTAATTTGTTGAGATTTACCACATATGTGTAAGGATTGGCATAACAAGTCACTTTCACCCTTCAAGATGTCTAATCTGAGACGGAATATATGGGTTTAAATTACCCTCAACGTGAACCAATGCTGTTTTTTTATAACTGATTTTACACTTTTGTTACCTATACATGCACTAGAAGATATTTTTCTGTATCTAAAAAAAACATTTTTAAAGATTGAGCAGTAAATTCAAACACATTAAAATGTTCAACCGTTAAACAAGATTGAAATTACAGTGAAAACAAATTTGCTTCAAAAGTTCAAATTGTTTTAACATGTGAACACATGTACAGATGAACTTTCGAGGTAAAGGGAAGTAATCTTGGTATAAACTGAAACCTACATACATATTTTAATGAGGCTTGAAAATTTGATTTTATTAAAGACACCATAAATTATTCCTACATCCTTCTTTCCCCACCCAGACGTCCGGGTGAGCTACATTCTGTACAACGACGACAGCTTGTTTGTTCAGCCTTCCCAGGATGCCGTGCGAACCCGCATCATTAGCGGTAGAATTGCAGGGATGCAGGTGAAGAACCTACCAGAGCCAGTTGTCATCACCTTTGCACCAAGAAAGGTATAGTGCATAAAGTTCTTTTTTTTTTGTTTACACTCTGGCTATTGGCATGGAAAGTATAAACCACGCATATATGGATTTTGAAAGACACGCAAATGTTTGTTCTCACTTCAACCTATCAGCCGATGCGTGGTAGGTTGTCATCACGTGGGTAGGCGGAAGAGTGACAAACAGATTGACAGGAGGTCAAAGGTCTCTCAGGATCTGACCCGGAGTCAGCACCAAGGACTGCATGCTTCTCCTTAAGTCTGAAGACGATTATTTACTAATATAACAACTGACAGTAATTACTAGATTATGCAAACCTGTGATGTATATGATTATGTATAAATGCAATACAAATGATTTAAATGCTTTTTTATAATATGATTATAAATTATAATTCAATTATAATTTATAATTGAACATACAAGATTAGAAATTGTAATTTTAAATTATAATTACAAGATTATAAATTATAATTTATAGTCTTGACAAGCTTTTTATTATAATATGGCAGTCTTAGTGCACGCGACGGAATCATGGGAATACACGTAATTCCAAACTCCGCAACCATTTTGAAAAGCGGTCCCGCGAGAGTACAGCACGTGACCTTGCGGGAGTACAGCGCGAACGCACGTGACCTTGCACGAAAACGAGACTGCTAGTGATGCTCCGTTTCATTTAGATAGCTTTCATAAAGTTAGTTATGAGTAGATAGATATAATGATTATATAAGTATGTGAAATTAGTAGATGAATTAGTTAAATAAATGCAATAAGATTGAGTAGACAAAAAATTACTTAAATAAAAAAAATCTACTTTTTTATTTCGTATTTCCAGGAAGTTTCTGATGAAGAAGGTAAAGTGGTGAGATGTGTTTTCTGGGACTTTGATGCTGAAGCAGGACAAGGGACGTGGTCATCAGATGGGTGTATGAGTCAGGGCAAGGCCAACGGACGGTACACGTGTACCTGTAACCACCTCACCAACTTCGCTGTGCTCTTCGTAAGTCATGCTAATTCTATCTTTACAATAGGCACGCATAAGAAATACGATTCTAAGCGACAGGGCGAAAAAAAAATTAAGAATAAAACTAGGTCTAGGCATCCTAATATGTCCCATAATGCTACGATAGGAGCCATGCCGTCAACACAAAATCCTGGGTTAATATTTAAACAATGAATTTCGAACTTTCAATCAAACCACAAGTTGGGGGAAAAATATGAGCATTTGTAGTTGTTTCAGAGCCAGAATCTTTTTTTTTCTTGAAAAAATGAAGAGACGAATCCGAGAATCAAAAAATTTAATCTGTTTGGCTTGACGACAACGTCCTTATAGGTAAGACATCAAATTATAAAATTTACGAGAAAATTGTTACTCAAGGAACTGAATATATTTTAAACTGTGAAACTGTTTGTGTGCTCCGAGTTTGCTGTTAAGTGTGGTCTTGGAAGGCATAATGCTATAGTGCAAAAACACCTAGTTACAAAATGTAGATCATTCAATATGTAGTTTAATTTTGGAATGTTTTTTTTTAATGTCCCAGGATGTGCATGGTTCAGGGTTTGGAGAGCACGAAAGACCACTAGAAGCCATCACTTATGTGGGCAGTATTGTGTCTATTATTGCCCTGGTCCTCACTCTACTATCTTTCATCATTACAAGGTAAGTACTTTGTAGGCTTTGTTCCCAATTAGAGTTTTGAAAGGCCCAGTATACAGGATTTTACCGTTCTATTTTTATTTAGATTAGACAAGCTCAGTGCATTCTAATTTTGCTTGTTAGACTGTTCAAACAAAAACAGTCAAACAATGCAAAACTAAAATGCATTGGACCCAGGACCGTCACCACGAGCCATGCATTCTTCAGTTTACTTTCGGAGAAGATACAAATATTCCACCCGACCGAACCTTAATGCATTTGCTTTGTATAATTTCTATAATTTATTAGGTCTTCTTCGGCATGTTATAAAGTACAACTCCTAAACCTCTTCGTATGACCGAGAATATATTTGAGAATATACCAGTAAGTACCAACATGCCTGTCTGTAATATGTTGCCCCAGCAAGTGCTTTGAATCCTTTCGAGATAAATTTTAGGAAAGCCTTCGAGTTTGGTAGTTCAGATTTATAATTACGCGTTCAGACGTCACACTATTTTAACATCGGCAAGGCCCTGAACCTCCCCCCCCCTCCGTCTCTACCAGAAGGTAAATATTATGGATTGTATATAACTTGGCCATATCTTTTTTTTTATTCCAGGAAGCAAAGACAAAGTGCCCGTGGTCCTCATGCCAGGAACCAGCGACTGGTCCTGATCAACCTCTGCGTGGCTTTGCTGGCCATTCTAATCACATTCTTAGCAGGCATCGACCAAACGGCTTCTCCCGTTGGTTGCACTGCTGTAGCAGCTTTGTTACACTACTTCCTATTGGCTGCGCTGATGTGGATGGCAGTTGAGGCTGTAATGATCTTTCTGGCTGCCGTGATGGTTTTTGGCCACTATGTGTCTGAGAGTTTTGTCTACAAGGCTGCAGTTGTAGCTTGGGGTGAGCAGAAGTTCATACCCAATTGTCGTTAACAACATTTTTATGCGCAGTCATTTTAAGAGAATGCAATTCGTTTTTTCCTTTAACTAAAACTTAGACGCCTCCCCAAAAAATTCTCCCAAAAGCATAATTTCTATGGGGTCGGCCTTGAGCCATGCTGAATCAAAAACAGATTTCCGACCCCCCCTGCGCCCACTCAAACATGCAAACCTATCATTTATTAGCACCACCAAAAACAAAAATTCAGTCCCGAAATTAAAATAAAACTATTTATTTTCCACTACGAAATGTAGTTCCATACGAGCAGAATTTTGACAATGTTTTTTTTATTCTTATTTTTTAGGCTTTCCGCTCCTTGCCATACTGTCGACTGTCGGGCCATCAAGTTTCTACGAATACAAGATGAGCAAGTAGTAAGTAATTCCCTCACCGTTATAATATAGTAACTGAGGGATAGTCATCGTAACTTTTGCTTATATCCACATTCAATATAGTCGCATTTCAGATGCTACAGAGATACTGCATAGATACTGTAATTTTGTTGCGTGTGCACATGTTCATTGGTGTGCATGATGTATTAAGGTGACATTCTGCATTAAAAAAAACTTCCTTCAATAATAAAAATGAAAATTTCCGACAACTTCGCTACAAATGCTACAAAACTATAGTCACTTCTAAAAGTACATATAATTCTTATACTCTATAATATATTCTCTTGTCACATTGACCATCTTAGACGTAGACATGTTGACCATAGCGTAAGCGCATACGTCATGCGATGACCGAAAGGTTAGGATGTCAGAATTTAGAATTAACTTACTGTTGCCTAATACTAGAATACTTTATTTCTTTCTTGATATTGCATCAAGACAATAAAATGCGGGCATATGGTATTGTGCTAGCTAATAATGTGAACGCATAATTCATATATACAATATGATAAAGGAGCACGTCGTAAACACAATCAAATAACGATCAACAACATCATGCTGAGATAAAAGTTCCCATCTGTTGACAGCTGTTGGCTGGCTCATCTCCCCATGTCGTACGCCTTTCTGCTTCCTGCTGGTCTCATACTGATGTTCAACATGATAGTCTTCTCCATCGTCATGTACAAGCTGGCCAAGAGGGAGAAGGTGCAAAAAACTTTAACAGGTAAAAAAAAAAGATTCCATGTTGGTGTTTCATGTTCATGGCCACACCAATTTAATTTGTTGGTTCTCGGATTTTGTTAGAAAAAAATATGGAGCGTCAGGGCGAAAAAAATAAAAACAGAGTTAGGCCTCCTACTTTAGCCCCGAATACAATGATAGGAGCCATTGAGTCAACAGAATAGGCTGGGTTAATATTTAAACAATGAATTTTGAACGGTAGCAAGTAGGAAGAAAACGACTTTCCTCAATTGTTTTGGGGAAAAATATTAGCATTTTGAGTTGGTTTTAGAATTTTTTGTGGGGAAATCAGAAAAAAATGAATCCCAGAACCAACAAATTGAATTGGCGTGGCCTTATGATGCTATTTACACAGCACTCCGTACTGCTATACATGTAACTATTAAGCTCCGTGGACACAAGAAAATGTGCACTTATGTAATTTGTAATAGGAATGTGTTATCATGTGTGAATGGATTTAGTAGGCCATTGCATGATGCAAACTGTATATTAATATTTTTCTGACCCTTGTTCCTTATAATGATCTCATGCCGACTCCAGGCCGCTTTTACGTTTTCACAGAGAATGATTAAAAAAATTAACGAAAAGTAAATCAATGTCTTGTTTCCGTTATCAGTCCTATAAAACTAGACCAGTAGCTACTTCTCATACATTTGGACTGGACTAATCCAACAAATACTGTTTAGTAACAATCTAAAGGTTAAGCTAAAATTGAACCAGGTCAAATGGTGTTTCCAGATCTACATCAGTTTGTTTGTTGGCTATTTAGCCAGTAAACATTTTCTTCTGAAATGCCTCAGGGTTTCAAAAACGGAAATTCACATACAACATTCTTTCTAAAGAAAAAAAATGGGTTGGCTTGTTTTTGCTAGGGTCTGTCGGAAAGCCTAAATTGCTACATTTCGTCATAGAAACAAACAAATACAGATGTTTGAACTGTAATTTCTAACAAAACTAATTAAACGTACTAAATTTTTAACCTTTACCTTTCAACAAACCTTATCAAGAAAGGACAATCTAATGCTTCTGTGACGTCACGTTATACAGATGACGCATGTGACTCAGTAAGCAGTGGGTCGTAGTTTGTAGAAAGTCTGTGGCACCCGTCGTCTTTGTTGTGTGTGAGTGTTGTACAGTCAAAATATGCCCTGTCTCTTGTGTTGGAACTTCAAGTTTAAACTTGAAGATAGAATAAAAATGTCACTGTGTTGGTACAAGTCACAATATAATAAAGACTCCACTTTCTTTGCCAAGACTGGAATGAACCGGTACTTACCTCAAATTTTCTGCTGACTCCTTCAACCTTTTTTTAATAAATGGACCCTATGGTCTACTCTTGGAATGTGACATAAGAGAAACATGACCGTAGTAGCGGGTTATACGGGCCAGATAACTTGTGTCGCCCCCCGTCTCTGTTCAAGGTAGGTCTGTGAGCGTTAATGTAGACCGTCTCCTTTAATCCTTTTGCAAGGTTGAACAAGGTTGAAGGAGTCAGACAAAAAGTTGGGCTAAGTCCCACTCCATTGCAGTGTTGGCAAAGAAAATTGAGTCTTTATTTTATAAGAAATATGAATTGTTACTTATATAAGAACAACATGTTGATGCACAGGTACCAAGGAGGAAGACGTAGACAAACAATGGATACTCGGTCAGCTTCGTCGGGCCTTCAGCATCATGTCTCTGTTTGGTCTCACATGGGTGTTCGGCTTCTTTGTCATCAGCGGTGGTCAGCCTGCTTTCGCCTACCTGTTCTGCACCTTCAACACTCTCCAGGGTCTCTTTGTCTTTATCTTCCATTGCGTCTTGAGAGAGGATATGAGAAAGTGGCTCAAGAGCTTCGACTGCAAAGGAAAGAATGAGAATAATTGTGTTGTCGATGAGAGTAAGTCATCTTCTGCAGCAGCTGAGCTAATGCAGTTTAAACGTGTACATCCCGGCAACAGTCCGGATGGGTCATTCGAAGAATTAGCTGAATGATACACTAGAATTGTTACTCATGAAACTGAATGGATTTTGAAACGATTTACTTCGGTACAAATCCTGTCTATCTCTTTAATCGGATGTCTAACCTAGCTTGACATTTGCTGTGAGTAAAAATAAACTTTCTGCAAATGGATTGCTATAAATTTTGGAATGTGGTTAGGTTTATCTAAACCTACCCCAAAAATTTATCAGATCACTCCTTCCATTTTCCATTTTCATGGCACCCTCCCGAGCAGGGTTAGTGGCTCTGCCCGGAAGTGTCCTCTGCTCTAGTTCCGGGCTGAGGAGAGGACACTTCCGGGCTGAGCCACTAACCCTGCTCGGGAGGGTGTTTCATGGTAGTACAGCATGTTTGAGATTTTCAATATCACGGCTTTTAATCGTCTAGGCGGTAGATTAAGTGACTGGATGGCCATGCTTTGTGCTCGGAAAAAGGTAACATATGATACTGGTCACCTCTAAATCTGGCACTTGTTAAGGTATTTAGTTGACGGGATATGGAATACCCCAAAACTATATAATTTGTTTAGATGATATGCATAAATGAAGCTTGTTTGCTTACTTGCTGCTTGCCTGCAATGATCATTTATTCACAGCATCTCACAGTCTGATACTTATAAACACTGTATTTATGGTCACTCATCCAAACAGTGGGCTCTCATGTAATAAAGACAATCATTGTTACGAATTTAGCATTGAATTAATAATTAATGCTACTTTGAATAATTATTAAGAACCTATAAGTCCATATTGACAATCACTTGTCCAATAATTGAACATTTGATGTACACATACACATATTATTTAACAGAATGCTAGTTTGATACATCGGTGACTATATCTAGAAAACGGGTCTTTTATCATGAGGCATGCGGCAAAAGTATTATAGCGAAGAGATGTTATACATGTATGGTGACTACATATTATGTGCACTACCAGCGGATACTAGTATGTGCATGTAGATTTTGCTAATTTTTATCCTGGTATTGTTACCGTTATTGAATAGTTACTCTAAATATACATAGAGTTATAAGTAACATACTTGAGCATTATGAAATTGAGCTTATTGAAAACATTATGAGATTAATATTACGCCGTGTTTTCATCGTAAATACTTGCAGCATAAATGAAGGAAAATCAGGACACTTATAAGACCAATTGTTGATAATAAAGAACACAAAACAATGGGATTTTCTTATTGCCCCCGAAATAATATTCTGTAACTTACACCAACGGAGTAGCGTGTTGCACTCTGGGATAATTTAGATGGTTTTTGGCGAGTTTGTTCAGAATTTGATGAGTTTTTAAGACTTGCATAATGCGTATTTTATCAAATACCTTGAAGTAATGTGCAGTTTTCACTTCCTAAAATTAATATGTCTGTCGGAAAATAGCTCTCCCTTCTGGACTTGGGAACCCCTTTAAATATATGGAGAATATTGTCAAATTATGATGATGATATAGTATTGATGATGAAACCGTCTTGATTTGCAATAATGAAGTAGTTTTCAGACGGGATAGTTCAATTTTTTATTGGTGATGACCTTTATTGTACGTTTCTGCTCTTATAAGCTTAATACAGATAGTGTATAAAGCGCTTTACAAATTTTTAGTCACATGTACTAATACTAGTATGTACTACTACCTACCGGTTCGACTACTACATGTATGTAAGCTTCTTTTCGCTTCAGATGTAGATGTATAATCATATGTAACTTATAAAAACAGTTTGTCTAATTTCATAATGAATGAAAAATTATATTTAGAATTTGAAAACTGGGAAACTTATCGTGTATACAATTATATGGGTTGTTTCATTTATGTACAATATGTACAGTCAACAATGAAATGACAGTTGTCCTCAATTTTTAATATATGTAGTAGGGTACTTATTACACATACAGGCAATGTTGCAATAATATCTTCGGTACAGTGCAGTAGTGTGTTTGGATCAGAACTGAGTGTCATGTTCAATTAATACTTAGGATAAAATGTTGGGTACTGATAATGGAAAGGAATCATTTACAATTCCATCCGTACCATAGGCCATGTTAATTTGATTATATGGATGACATCCACGCGCGCATGAAGTTTCGTCCGTTTCCACAAAAACGTTTTCGACCATACTGTAAATCGTACAAAATGAGCAAATATATGTCGTATGTTGCAAAAAAAAATATTGGAAAACGATACTACCATACCAATATCATAGAATGACGAAATCAATTCAGGAAAAAAAGAACGTGAAGAAATGAAAACGTGAAGAAGAGTCTATCACATTCCACATACCATACCTTTGTGTGGTAAAAAGAACTTTGCTATTCATATTTTTGTGTGTTTAGTCATTTGTTCAACCATGTCTTCTCATATCTCTCTCAAGTAGACTCACACAAACAGTGTTAACGTACCTTGCACTTTGCTAGGCGAGACCTGTTTCCCCATTTCCAGGTTTCGTATTTATTAATCAAGCAAATTCAGTGGAAAGAATCCTTAGAACATTCCCTCGTCATAGACATGGCAAGTGTCACCCTGTCTTCTTCACATCCTGCCTGGGCGTCACCAAACTCCATTTTCTTATAATAAATTGGGATGCACTTGAAAAAATATCTCTTCTCAAAGACTTCTTTTAAAATTAGATCCAACAGTCTCCAGTTTGGCCAACACACGGTTTCACTGCGCCACCTAGCAATATAAACGAGAACTGTAACGCGTACTTGGTATACAAGGCAGATGTAGACGGTGCTTGACGCACAAGGCAGATATAAACGGTTTGTTACCGTCAAGACTCTTAACAAGTCTGTGTTTGTACTACCATATGAAAGTTCATCTGTTCTGTGTTGGTAGTTACATGTTTAAAGTTAAGACTTTTGGTCTAACACAAAAAATTCTCTCACCAATGTTAGGTGAGAGAATGTTTTGTTTTGGACCAAAAGTCTTAACTTTAAACAAGGCTGTGTTTGATTTTCAGCCAGAAAATGCTATTTATAATATTAATTTATAAGAATATAACTTCTAAAAACCTGCGCTTTGCAATTAGTTTCAGCAGTCTCCAGTTTAGCCAACACACGGTCTCACAGCGCTACCTAGTAATAGTTATCAGAACTGCAACACGTATTTATAGTATACAAGACAGAACTGGGCTGTGCTTGCCGCTAATGTGCGGCATTTGTTGGCTTATTTCTGCCCAAAATAAACGAAAGTTACCGTCAAGACACTCTGAACAAGTCGGTGTTTGATATTAATCAAGAAATTGCTATTACAAATTTGTCAGAATATCCCTTCTCAAATCCCGCCCTTTACAGGACAAAGACCACCAAATGAGTGAGTGCAGCCAAATGAGTGAGTGCAGCCAAACCAACTGAAAACAGCCTTTTTCTTGGTATGTGTGGATAAATGCTGGCATTTTCCAGCTGGAGAGTTCTTTCTATTTCTATTAACTTGGAAAAACTGGCTGTTAGTGTTGTTTTGGCTGCTTGGTAGGTTCTAAAACTAATCCCACCTTATTGTCTTTTGGTGGTCTTCAAGGGGGTCAGAGGTGATGCTGCCAGTGTTTGCATTTGCCGTGCCATGTATCGCTGGTCAAAAAGTGACATTTTTGGGCTAAATGGACAATTTGGAAGTTGGACTACCCTGTCAATATGTGTTTGCAATAGTTGAACACTCAAGTAGGTGATTGTTGACAGCTCAGTTCTTAGATGTTTTCCATATATTCCAATAGGGGCTGGAATCAGTGGGCTGTCCCCTACAATTAGGTTCAATAGTCTGCAGTTCATCCAGCACATGTCTGTCTGTTCACCACTGTGCGTGTGTTTTACTAAGCCTTGCAGGGTTCTATTTAAGCGCAGAATTTTAAGAAAAAAAGGAACTACTCAATTAGGATATTTTATATTTTTATTCTACGATAAGAATGTTCATAAACGAGCAAAGAAGCAAACTAATGTGTTTTGTGTTTTGACGTCAGAAGTCTATTTATGACGATTTCAAAATGTTTGTTCTCTTCATGTCACCCATTTTGTGGAATAAACTGTCCCATTTGAGTTCCAAGATGGTGAATGTCTGATGGGGATTTTTTTCCACAACAACGGTTCTTCATGTTCTGACCTAGTTGATATATCTTATTACAAAGCGATGGTTTCTCGTGTGAAAGCAGCGACATCCGGCGATCGAAGTATGTTCTGCAGCATTCTTGCGGTATGTTATCTGCCTTCGTCAAAGCCGTTATGGTTTTGGTGTTTTGGGCAAAGCGTGATAATAGCCGTGAATATCTACCAGGATGGTAGTTTCATATTTGAGTCTTTGTTGTAGATGAGATACGTTAGATGTCATCGTGCCGGCTATACGTCACAACAGTTCATTTATAACTGGCTAGTTGCCGCTCAAAGCCAGATTTCTGCTCCGCCAGATTTCAGATATGTGGAGAAGTGCGCATGTCTGGAATCCAGAGCTAGGTCTGGGGTTAGCGTTAGGGTTAGGCTTGTTTGGGTTTAGATTAGACTAAGGATTTGGAGTAAGGGCCGTTGGCTCTTAAAAAAGAAATATGCATTGTCCTGTATATTCTTTGTCCCAGCCATGTCCTTTGAAATCAGCCCTTGGAAGCTATAGGGACAACCCAGCTGTCTTGAAATGAAACGAACAGCTGATAAACAAGAATTCGGATACCTCATACCTGCATGAAATATTGAGAGTGTGTGGATTTTTTTGGGAATTGTCTCATTGATCATGTAAAATTGCATATATTTGAAAGTCCTATCCTTTGCAAGATTTGAACATTTCATCATGAAATAGGCAAATGATATCCACATGGGCAAAGTGATGCTTAGTGATGTTCCACTGTAACTAACTCACACATGTCACAACTATGAAATGCCCACCATTTACCGTTATAGAATCAAGGCATTTTGCATTAATTATGAAAATCAGGTATTTATTTCCATAATCAAGAGACCGGTCTAGTCTTTAGCCTGAGGATCAATGGTTTTGTAAAGGATTTCTGGGCATTAGGCCACACCGTCTTAATTTTATGGATGACATCCTCTGAAGTAATTTTATGGATGACATCCTCTGAAGACCCCCCAAACTAGTGCGCGACAAGGACGAAAAAAAAAAGAAAAATCCGGACCAAAAATAAAACTGCTACTAAACCACAGGAATACAAAGCCGGTATTGTGAATTTGGCGCATTACGGTAATAGCGACGTAT